CGATAGTCCAGAACGAAACCAGGACTAAACCAGCACTGAACCTACGCCGTGTCATTAGCAGATTATAAATATATACACACCGCAACTGCAGAGCCACCAGTACTACACCAGGACTGGACCAGAACTACACCAGGACTTAACCAGGACTAACCAGGACTGAACCAGGACTACACCAGGACTGGACCAGAACTACACCAGGACTTAACCAGGACTACACCAGGACTGGACCAGAACTACACCAGGACTTAACCAGGACTACACCAGGACTGGACCAGGACTACACCAGGACTTAACCAGGACTACACCAGGACTGGACCAGGACTACACCAGGACTAAACCAGGAATTACACCAGGACTGGACCAGTACTAACACCAGGACTGGACCAGGACTTAACCAGGACTGGACCAGGACTAAACCTGGTCTAAACCAGTACTACACCAGGACTGAACCTGGATGACACCAGGACTTGACCAGGACTAAACCAGGTCTAAACCAGTACTTCACCAGCACTGGACCAGGACTACACCAGGACTGGACCAGTACTACACCAGGACTGGACCAGGACTACACCAGGACTGGACCAGGACTACTACACCAGGACTGGACCAGGACTAAACCAGGACTGGACCAGGACTGGACCAGGACTAAACCAGGACTAAACCAGGACTGGACCAGGACTAAACCAGGACTAAACCAGGACTGAACCAGGACCACAGTTGAGCCGATCTCCTCCGCTGATGGTTTTATGTAATAAATCCACTAAAGTCTCTCGCAGCCTGGTCCATCGTACCGGGAAAAGACCGGGAAATGTCATTTGTTTCCAGGGCAACAGACGTCCTGGATGCACGTCAAATATTTTTCTCTCGTTTGTCGTTCATTTGATTCACCTGACCTGCCCGTGTGTAATCACTACCCACCTGCATACGCGCCTGTAACATTCCGTAAACATAAAACCCACCCGTTTCAGCCACTTTTTGTGGGTATCCATCAAATGTAAGACTCTGCCTGGAGCTGTGTTTCGTTTCATTCACACGTTTGAGTGACCCATTATTATGAGTTTGTCTCCATCTCCAAAGCTCAAAATGCTCTGTTTAACCTTGTGATGTCATGTGGTGCTAGTTTTCATGTTAACAGCTACAGTATGTTTTACCTTTAGTTCAGTAGAGATTGGTAATTCCAGGGCTGAAATCATCCAAATGATTCCAGTGAAGGTGTATGAAGTTTAAAATCACAGTGGAACACTTCCTGTATTATCACATGACATCACAAGGTGGCGCAGAATATTTTCAGTTTGAGAGAAGAACTCAGCCTAAATATGCAGGGCTCATGTGTTAAACATGTGTGAATGAAACAAATATGGGCCCTTTAAATAGTTTGCAGTAGTCCAAGTGATGCGTTTTTGCCATCACATAACAACTACTAATAGTCTATTGCAAAAAATTACAATAACATGAAAAAGTTCAATATTTTTTTTGTCTCTCATTTCCGAAAGTCAAGTCCATATACAGTATTATATTGAGTCGTGACACATTTGAGTCCTGTGTCTCTGAAAATATTACATAAAATCAATTTTAAAAAATATATTTTAAACAGAAATGTCAGCCAGGAACTTTTTCATGATATTGGAATTTTTTTGCAATGGACTAGTATATGCTACGCACGGAGTATGCCCTGTTCACGCTTACCCAAAGTCGTTTGGAAACACGCGGATGACGACTTCCGGTGTAGTTCCCTGCACTGGGCATGTGATAAAACCGTGGATTCAGCCGCAGCGTCTTCACAATCCGCCAAAGATTTCCAATTATAATACACAATTTAAGGGAAAAGAAAGAATACAATGACATCTAGTTGAAGAAAACCAGGCCATTTTCTTAGTTTTACCAGATTTTGTTACTATCGCCAACAAAACCCAAAGGGAGTCGTCATCCGCATGTTTCCAAACGTCTGCCGCTTTTGTGACGTAAGCGTTAATTGAGCCCGTTCTTGAATCTCAGACAATAAATGCTTTATAATTAGATACAGACAGTACACAGTGGACTTACTTTGACCTCAAGAGCTGCTTATACAATATATGTTCTGGGATAAGACATAGTTTCTCAAATACATGGGGAAAAAACTGAGTACAGGTCCTTTAATTCTTCGTTTAATTCTTTGGTGAGACAGATAGGATGAGAGACACGAATACAGCAACTTGTGCAGATTTGACAGATTTTTTTTTCTGAAACACTGACCTCATTAAGACTCTCGATAAACATGGTGCTTCAAAGCCATTAGAAACAGCAGCTTTTCAAAGGCTGTTCAGAGCAGCCCCGACCACAGGGAAGTCCCACAGTCTTCACATGAGATGAAACAAGCAAGTGGTGGGTTTTATGTAACTTGGCTGGTGAGAGAAAAATGAAAAATTGCTGCAAAAATGTACAGTACAATGATATAAGAATATATTGCTGACAGTTTAGAGTTTAGAGATGCACGGATTGCGGTTACAGCCGCGGTATCCATGGCTAAACCGCGGGTCGGGCAGATGACGTGACGAAAAATAATATTGTAATTAAATTTGGGCGGGTGGTGGTTTAACTACTCAAATTAAAAAATATTATATATAGCCTATATTGTTATGTATTGTTACCTACATCTGAAAAAACAGTACAGTCTATGCTTGTAGTAAGAAGGTTAAAAAATAGCCTAGTCAGAAAACTTGTCATTAAATGGTCTATTTGCGAACTTTTCACAAATAAACCGCAACGAACTTTAAACGAAACACAACACTTGGATGGGTCAGTTGGACTTTGTTGGTGCGTTCACGGTGACTCTGGGCTTTGTTCAGTTGTGGCGTGTAGGGAGGGTGCTGTCTGGGATCGCTGGATTGTCGGCGTGTTCGCAGTGACTCAATTGTTCAGTTGTGTCTAGAAGTGGCACATTGCACTCGCTTTTTTGGTTCGTTCCTCCGTTCCGTTCCTCGTCCGTGTGGAGTGATGAGTGTGGCTGCGGGTGTGTTTCGCTGTGCGGTCGCTGTCTACGCCGTGTGCAGGTGGTGTGGCTTTGTAATTTACTGAAGTCATGCTGGGACACCTGAGTGGATTTGTGTATAGGGCGCTCTGGATTGTGGGGCACGCAGTTGTTTTTTGATGGGGTTGGAGGCTTAAGAGCACATCTGATAGTCCAAAAAATATGGTATGCACGTTGAGTGAATTTTGGAATGAATGAGCTAGAGAGTTAGCATTTTTTTTCGAGGCTCCTTAGTTTGTTTGCTGTATGATTGTTCTAAAATCTAAAATCGGCGGATGGAGGGCGAGTGCGTTTTTGAAAATTTGTCAAAACCTTGGGTGCAAATGGATAGCGGGCGGATGATGAGTTTTGTGTTGCTGTTGCGGATGAAAAAATAGCCCATCCGTGCATCTCTAATTCATATTAGTATAGAGCCCAAAAGTCTGTTCTGGTTATGGAAGTCAATTTTCCAATCATTTTTTCCATAGATTCATTAAAAATTAATATTAAGGGTTCAAAGGCATTGGGGTGGCTAACTAACTATGTACTGACTAATATTCATAAAGTGGTTGCTTTAAAAGGTCCTATATTACACAAACTTGACTCTTGGCCAAGTTATAATGTTGTTACCTCATCAAAAACATGCAAAAACCTGGAGGTGTGTTTTGTTTCATTCACAAATGTTTGAATAATTCTGTGTTATTAGTCTGTCTACATCTCCAAAGCTCAAACTGCTCTGTTCCACCTTGTGATGTCATCAAGCGGTAGTTGAGTCAACAGCTACATTTTACCTTTTGTTCAGTTTGGCATTCCCAGTGCTAAAATTATCCAAATGAAGTGAATGGAATTTGAACATAATGGAGCACTTCTTGTGTTACCACATGACATAACAAGGTGGAACATCTTCTTCCACTTATCTGGAGCCGGGTCACGAGGGTAGCAGTCTAAGCAAGGACTCCCAGACTTTCTTCACTTCAGATACTTCCTCCAGCTCCTTCGGGGGGACCCTAAGGCGTTCCCAGCCCAGCACAGAAACATAGTCCATCCAGCGTGTCCTGGGTCTTCCCCGGGGCCTCCTCCTGGTGGGACATAACCCGAACACGTCCCCAGGGAGCCAGCTGAAGTTGCTCCCTGGGGACCCTCCTAAGGGAGCGCCCAGCCACCCTGCGGAGGAAACTCATTTTGCCCGTTTGTATCTGCGATCTTGTTCTTTCAGTCATTACCCAAAGCTCATGACCATCACCTTTGGGCTCAGCTCCCTCTTCACCACAATGGTTCTATACAGCGACTGCATCACTGCCAGCACTGCACCGATCCACCTGTCAATCTCACGCTCCATCCTCCCCTCACTCGTGAACAAGACCCCGAGATACTTGAACTCTTCCGCTTGAAGCACCCATCTGCAGAGGGCAAGCCACCTTGTTCCAGTCGAGAACCATGTCCTTGGATTTGGAGGAGCTGTTCTTCATCCCAGCCATTTCACACTTGGCTGCAGACCGCCCCAGAACCTGCGGCAGGTCAAGGTGGAACAGAGTGCTTTTTACTTGAGAGAAAAACTCTGCCTAAATGTGCAGGATTGATTTGTTAATCATGTTTGAACACAACTCCAGGTAAGTTTTTCACGAGAAAACAAGATTATAACATAGATCAGAAAATAGCGTAACATTGGCTCTTTAACACATGTTTTTCCCAGAAACTATGTATGGACTTCCTGAACCAGAGCAGTCCCTGTTGAACTCCGTTGTTTATTTTTTGTATTCATGTATTTTTGCAATACATTTTGTTTAAATCATACACTGGTTTTGCAATTATGCTAACTTCTTGCTCTTTTTCTCACCTCCCTCCATCCCTACTTCTTTCACCTCCTTCTTTGACAATCTCTTCCCAAAATGTGTCCCATTCTTCTCCCCTGTCTCCCTCCCTCCATACCCCTAACTTCCATCTCACTCCCTCCTGCTCTCTTCCTCTCTCCCCCTCCCTCCCTCCCTCCCTCCCTCTTTCTCTCTCTCTGCAGTAAGTACAGGCCTTCATCGGAGCAGCACAATGACAATTTCTCCCTGTCCACCATCGCTGAGGGCTCCCACCCAAATGTAAGGAAACTGTGCGACACCCCTCCTAACGTCCCCCATGCCCGTGCATTGGCTTACTATGATAACATTATCTGTCAGGTAACGTGGTTCTTGCCTCTCTCTTCACCCCTCTCCTGCATCTCCCCGACCCCGCCCGCGACCCTCTGGCTGACCTTTGACCCCTAATGCATGGGCATGAGTATTCTGGTCTGATACGAGGTGGGAATGCCATGAGCAAGGTGGCTGTGAATTGGAGAAATAGAGTTTTTTGAGGTTGCAATAGTAGAAAGCAGCCAGCAAGTGGATCTTTTATCATGGAGCCAGAAGCATCATAGACTATACCAAATGAAAATCTAGAGCTGTTACAGTCTTTTGAAGAACTGATGCAGAATCAAACAAAAATAATACATACACCTACATACAACACAGTGTTACATATAATACCAGGGTTCCTACAGTGTCTTAAAAAGCTCTCTAAGTCTTAAAAAATGTATGAATTTGGAAATAATACCTTAAAAAGACTTGAAAAAGTAGAATTTTTATATCTGGGTCATAAAATTTATACAGTATGTAACTTCTCGATATCGCACTTCTCCTCAAAAGTTTAATTTGTCAACCATCATTATTTGGTTAAATAACGCAGCCTAAATAAAGAGCGGCGGACCCGATAATTGAGAACGCGACGCAGCCCCGGGTCAGATTACTCCAAACATGTCACTGAAGATCACGCGCTACAGCAGCACAAGCAGCAAGCTCAGCAAAAGTGTGTAAAATCAAAGAAAATCTCAGCAGAACTCAAAGTTTGATTAATGCCGTTATGTTGTTTCTTAACGTTGGTTTTATGTTACCAGAGCCCGTTCCATGCTGGGGTTATGGGTAAGAGTCTCTCTATTCCCCATATTCCCAGCATGGAATAAGTAACTGCTAAAGCCGCATGTATGTTGTGCAATTTTTGGCCTTTTTTGAGCCGATTTTTCACTCGTGCAATCAGGCCGAGTTTTGTCTTAATCTTGTGTAATGCTTCGTGTAGTAAACATGGGGTAACCAGAACTGATTAATACCTTATGACCAGCTCCCGATCGACAATCAGATCACCTCTCATGCAGGTTTCGCACTGTTGAAGTAGCTCGTATAGAGTGAGAACATGAATCATGAGCTGTGAACTTTTAAACCTTTTGATTAGGTCGTACAGTTTGAGCTGGAGCTGAGTGAAACAGTCGGAAGTATTGCAGAGTATGTCCGGCATAACGTAACCAGTGTTAAAAAACAACTTAACAGTGTAAAGGCCGCCACACACTACACGCTTTTTCAGTCTTTTAACGATTTTTTAAACGTCCGTTTTAAACCTGTATAAATCAGCTGACCGGACACGTCACAGCAACATCACGTGACCACTCTGAGGAAGACCGCTAGTGAGCAGTCGAAACTGTCAGGTATGAAAAACAAACCCTTGATCTGAAAAAAGAACCTAATAACATAGATTTTTAAACGTGCGACAAAAAGCGTCTGGATATGCAGCAGGTCTCTGAAATAGGCCATGAAATAGGTATTAAGTTTTTATATAAGTGGTCTTAAAAAGGTCTTAAAAAGGTTGACTTTAACTTGAAGAAACCTGTAGGAACCCTGAATACAAAAAGGGAAAACCAGGAATAAATTGTCCGACAATAATTCAACGAAATTTTCATACATACGCTAATTCTCTACATCTTAAATATCTCCAAGCCCATAAACCAAAATATATCATAAATTTAACTCAAACCTGCTCATGAATCAGTCTAACGTTAGTGTTTTTATACACAGTTTACAAGTGTTTTAGACACTGAGTGAGGAGCTGAAACTGCCCTGCCTTACCCTTGAATAACAGCTGACCTTATAAACATGGGCCGGGACTTTTATATATAAAAAAGTAGGAATTGTTAATACTGCAGAAGGCTATGCACATTTTTGTAGTCCTAAAATGATTACAGTGACCAGAATTTCAAAATCAAAAACTGGGACACCCTGGTTTGGGTTAGTAGGTAATAATAAAATTGTGAAACGAGTGCGTAATGAAGGAAAATTGTTCTGCACTTGGCCCATTCATGACTAACATGTGAGTCAGTATAGTCACATTTTCCTTGTGTTTTGGTGATTTTAAGCAGCTTTTCTGTTTAAACCTAAAACAAGTGACAATTTATGCCTCTCTTTACTGTTGGCAGGTCAAAACTAGGGACACTTGGGGCATTTCTTGTTTAAAACTGGTACTAATCATTGGTTTTAGATAAATCTGCTGGGACAGGGAACACAGGCCTCAAAACTGAGACTGTCCCGGGTAAATATGAACATCTGGTCACCCTAAAAATTATGCATGGACAGCTTTGTTTGACTTCACCTAAATACCGTAATAATGACATTGTAGTCCGCCTTATTCTCTTGCTGTTATGGCCTCGCCTGTTCTCGTGGCAACCCTCAAGACTCCAGTCGTTACACTTTTATTGCGGCTATTGATTTTGTTTCCCACTTTATTGCCTATTGATTTAATCTCGAGGCAAACACTCGACGTCACACTAGTTAAATCACAGAGCTCAAGACGTTTTCATTTGAATAAAATAAGCATTCGTGGGAAAAATAAGTAACATCGATGGCTCTCAAAAAGATCTGCACTAAATAAAGTAAAACCAAAATCAAAATACTTCTAGACCTCTGTATTGTGCATTCCCACCTCATGTACTCTGTGGCGCTAACATGCTCCAAAGCGGACATGCTCAGCTTTGCTAACTGTGCCGACGTAACTTAATGTATGCTTCATTTGTTTATCCTGAACTGGGAACTTTGGGATTTGTAGTTTCTTTGGGGGGAAGGGTCTAAACCAGGTAAGATAACGTTGTGAATATTTGTGCTTTAAGAATCTGTCAGGATAAACTTTGAATATGGCTAAGGTTAAGAGCGTAACTAACAAAAGCATGGTTAGCTGTTAGCATCAACATGTTAGCAGCATGGTTAGTAGATTTCGTTTGTTTTTTTGTTGTTTTTTTTTTCATTTCATTTGAAAGATGTGGTACCACCGTCTAACAACTCCATCAGTAGTTTCTCAAGCTGCTCTACTGGCCCAGTCATGTCTCCTTTTTAATACTTCATAATCATATCACAGTCATACCTCCTCCCTTTTTTAACCAAAATACATTTTCCCCGATCAAATCTCGACATAAGACTAAATATCTTCAAAACAGCCCACGTCCTGTCCTTAAAAACAAACTTCATGATAATTCTGAGAGTGAATGTTAGAATAAAAGTAGTTGGAAATGCTTGATATCAATGCTTCAGAATATTTTTTGTGTGTTTGCATAGATAACAACAAAAGACACAAGGCAACACAAAACAAAAACCTCGCAGATGTTGTAGTTAGAGATATTAACACTTGTAATGTTGATGAGAAGATTGCAAAAACAGGTAAAGATAGACCAATACAACCGTTGGCTGATAATTTGATCTTCCAGTAATTTATGTTATTATTATGTTGTATATTCATGATCTTTGCCCATGTTTTTGGGAAGATTTTGGTCATTTTCCCCAAATAATGGAGTATGAATTTAATACAAACTCATCCATGATCTTGTTAAAGGTTGTATAGAAGATTTTCCAAGGAAAGAGAAATGCAGCGACTGTTTGTCCTTTTTCAAATGTTATGCTTCGCTCCTTTTCCCCTTTTCTTCTTTCCGCGACATCAAAAATGGACTTTCTTTTGCGATGAACTGGTCGTGAATTCTTGTCCGCCATTACAGCAAACTTTGTGCAAAGTGAGAGGAAGCTACAGTTAAAGAAAAAGACGCTAAGAACCGATGTATTGGTTGAGTAAACGGCATCAGTGCGTGAGAGGCGAACGTAAACCACGTAATCCCAGTGTGCCGGAAAGTCAGTGATGCTAGAAACGTAAGGAGTTTGATTAACAACCCAACAGCCAATAGATAAAGAGGTAGCTTTGTTATCTATTGGCTGACGTTTATCAGGCCCAACCACGTCCACAGTTGATGGATTTTCATTCTTTTTTTTTTTCTGGTCATCATAATTACAAGGCTGCTGCGTCTCTATAATTCTATTTTGAACTTTCATTGACAATTTGAAACAAACAAAAAAATCCTTCATACAACCTTTAACTGGATGAGGCAGCGCTCTCTTTGGTCTTAAGTGTTCAGATAAGCTTTATGTGTACCGTATGTTCTTAATGCATAGTTTAACAGCTGGTTGGGCCAAAGAAAATATCGGGCTCTGCTGAAGATTTAAGGCCGATATCACAAAACCAGAATCTAGAGTTGTTTAGAATTCAGAGTAGCCAATGTTTGATGATCTCTGCTGATGTTTTTGGGCCGATTTTGGTAATTTTCCTCAAATAATTGAATGTAATTTTAATACAAACTCATCCACGACCTTGTTGTGCTACAAACGAATGAGGGAGCAGTTTAGTCACATCTTTGCAGTGCTCTCTTTGGACTTAAGTGTTCAGATATGCTTCATGTATTTTTAATGCACAGCTAAACGGCTCGTTGGGCCAAAGAACATATCGGCTTCTGCTGGAGATTTAAGGCCGATATTTGATACGCAAAAAGGGGCAAATATCAGCCTGAATTTTTAGGTTATTAGGTTCTTTTCAGACCAAGACTTTGTTTTCATAAGTGACCATTTCAACTACTCACTAGCGCTCTTCCTGAGAGTGGTAAAAGTTCACAAGTTCACAGTTTTGACTGGAGGACAGCGCCATTTGCAGTCCGAATTCCTTAGGACAGTATCCCACCCGTAGGAAGACAGCACCAAAACTTGTAAAAATCAGCTGACCGGACACGTCGCAGCTACATCACGTGACCACTCTGAGGAAGAGCACAGTGAGCAATCCAAACTCTCACATATGAAAACAAACACTTGGTCTGAAAAAAAGAACCTATTAACATAAAATATCAGGCTAATATCGGCCTTAAATCTCCAGCAGAGGCCGATATGTTCTTTGGCCCAACCAGCCATTTAGCTGTGCATTAAAAATACATGAAGCATATCTGAACACTTAAGTCCAAAGAGAGCACTGCAAAAATGTGACTACACTGCTCCCATATCCAGTTTGTAGCAAAACAAGGTCGTGGATGAGTTTGTATTAAAATTATATTTGATTATTTGAGTTTTTTTGTTGTTGTTTTTTTTTTTAAATCGGCCCAAAAACATCAGCAGAGATCATCAACCATTGGCTGCTCTGAATTCTAAACAATTCTAGATTCTGGTGTTGTGATAAAAAGGCTGTGTGAGTTTGTAGTCAATTTAAATGACATAATCATCTGGGTTATATTATCAAAATTAGCCCAAATCTACATATCAGCCCAAAAATATCAGCAGAGCTTGGTTCCTCAGGATTCTAAATAATTGGTATTGGCACTGGCCATGAAAAAGCTCATATGAGCCGATCTCTAGTTGTAGCAGGGTTGCCAGGTTTCAACCACTAAACCAGTGCAACAACCTTCCAAAAACCCAAAATGTTAAATGTGTTTTACTGATGCTTGGGATAAAACCTTTCTTGCCATTTTCAAATAAACATTTTGTCCAACAACCATTTCCATGGCTGCAAATTTGGAACAATGTGCATTATGTAACTTTTTGGTTTGGTTTTGGTTGGAGTTCCATCACCTTCTTGTTCCTATGGATGGATGGATAATGTTCTACAGTATGACTTTAAATAGTTCTTCCTTACATTTATTCAATTTGGTGGTTTTATGTCTCAAAATCTCACAGATCTGACCTGTAACTTGGTTTGGTTTGGTCTCCATGATGATAGAAAGGTTTAATGCCACACTGTGAAACATTCCAGACAAAGCAATAACACCTCCATGGAGAAAAGCATTTGATGGACCCTCCATTAAAAAAAGTTACACAATGCACCTTTTATGGAGTAAGAAAGCTTTCAGAAATATTTGTGTGCATAGAATAGAAATCCGTGCGTATTTGTCTGTATTTGAGCATAAAATAAATATTCTTAAAATCTTGAATGAGTCCAGTCATACATAAAATGTATAGTGTGTATTTTATCCATCAGAATACAAATTAAACAGTTACGACATCAAGAATTACAATTGTGAAATGAAAATTTACAATTACGCTTTCTTCAGTACGAACACAAATTCACAGATGCGACTTTACTGTCAAAAATACATCATCACTTCACAGGCATTATTGATTGAGCAGAAGACACATTGATCGATATACCGGACTTTTGCACCGGAACTTTTAAAACAGGACTCTTAGTCCAGTTTTAGTCAGTTTTAGTCCAGTTTTAGTCCTGTTGTAGTCCTGGATCAGTCCTGGTTCAGTCCTGGTTCAGTCTGTATGTGGTGCAAAATTCCAGCATCTCGATCGATGTTTCTTCTGCTCAATAAATGCCTGTGAAGTAATGATGTATTTTTAACAGTAAAGTCAAAAATACATTCACAATATTGTGAATTCGTATTCATACTGAAGAAAGCATAATCGTAAATTTTCAATTTGTGATTGTAATTCTTGATGTCGTCAATTCAATTCATATTCTGATGGATAAAATACACAATACATTTTATGTACGACTGGATTCATTCGAGAGTTTGAAAAAATAGATATTTTATGCTGAACTACAGCCAAATATGCATGGATTTCTATCCTACGCACACAAATATTTCTGAAAGCTTTAGTACTCCATGCCAATTAGTTTCTCTACTTCTCTACAAATATTAAGACATAAGCCAATCAGAATATAGCACCACTCATTCTTATGCCCTCGACAGCTCTTTAAAGGAATTAATTTTAGCTCACCACCACCTGCAAGACCTAAAAAGACCTTTTATCTAAAGCATTTCCTACTGCTTATTCTACTTTAGCTTCATGAAAATACCTTCTTACCATTACCCCAAACGCTCCCAATTTATTCTCAAAGACAACCATAAAGTTCCATGTTTCGTCCCTTTTCTTGACAATTCCAAGCAAACCCACTAATGAAACAACATCCCTACAAATCCTCTGTAAACTAACAGTTCGCCGACGGTAGGGCGCTCTCTGTAAACACGGGGGAGATGAGACGCTCTCCTGATGAGGCCGGGCGGGAATATCGTCTAACAGGAAGTCAGGCTCCGAAAGTCTTTATCTGATCTCTGCGTCTGTCCTCCTCTTTCCATCTTAATGAACCTCGACAGCAAAAAGAGTGGAGCACAAAGTGATGTCATGCACGCAACAAAGACAATGAATCTCCCCACACTATCATATTTTATAGTTGTAACTGAGCAAATGCAAAGGAGATATGTTTAATGCCCTACTGTGGAACATCCAGATTCAACCAAATTCCATGGAGGCACCGTAGAAGTTTAACACTTTAATGTGATGAGATGATTGCAAAAAATATGAATACACAACTTTCTTAATGGTTTGTGGTCCTCAAAAAGTTGAAGGGCCCATGTAACACTATCTCTGATCTATGTTCTAATCTTGTTTCATCATCACAAACAGACCTGGAGTTGTGTTTTGTTTCAATCGCACATTTTTAACACACAAATCCTGCATATCTAGGCTGAGTTTTTCTCTCAAACTGAAAACACTCTGTTCCACCTTGTGATGTCATGTGGTAATACAGGAAGTTCTCTACTGAGGTTTTAAACTCGATGCACCTTCAATTGAATCAGTTGGATGATTTCAGCTCTGGGATTTCCAATCTCTACTGAATTAACCCTTGTGCACCCTTTGTGTTCCTTTGTGACAAAAATGTACACCGGAAAAGAATACCACAATATTTTTATGCAGTATGGATTTTTGTCCAACTTTTTTATATTAGTGTTTTCATTTACTTAATACCCTAATCATGCATACCAAAAATATATATAATATTTTTTTTAAATTTTAACCCCTTAAATGCCATCTTTGACAGCAAAAGGATCAAATTATGTGCATGAAAAAAAAAAAATTTTTTTCTGTATCTTTCAAGGAATTTTAATTTGTTTGTGTTGGGATTATCAGAGACTGGGGGCTTGTCTAGAACACAACCTTATCATTTTAACTTCAAATATCTACGTCTCTGGCCTTCAGTGCGGACTACTTTTTACAAATGCCTTTCTATTGATATCGCCTTGTAATTGAAGATACAGAGTAAAAAGAAAAGTATCAAAACTATTTAAAAAGACACTAAAACAAAACATTTTGAAGGGTTTTCAATACCAAAGAATGCCAGTTTAAAAAAGCCATTTTGAATGGAAGTCAGTGGGACAAAAATGTACCTAAGGACCATGGGTGTTAGTATTTTGATTATAGACCATTCATTTAAAGCGGTCTTGAAAGAAAACACAGAAATTAAAAATACATCACAAAATACACAAACTGGCCAATTTTGGTGATATTTGGTGCAATATAGACAAAGTTATGCAGAAAAGAAAAGTTGAAATGTACATAGAGAGTGCAGGTAGAAGGTAGAACGGTAGAAGGAGCTGTTAACTTGAAAACCAGCACTTCATGACATCACAAGGTGGAACAGAGCATTTTAAGCTTTGGAGATGCAGAGAGACTAATAATAAAGGATTACTCAAACATGTGAGAATGAAACAAAACACAACTCCTGTTAAGTTTTTGAGGAGGTAACAACATTATAACATGGCTTAAAACTCACAAGAGTCCATTTTGCGTAATATATAGATCTTTAATCATAAAAAATGCATTACGGTCTTCCTCATTTTGCCTTCATTCGCCTCCGTTATGTGATTTTAAACATTCTGATGTAACATTTTAAAAGGTCTTAATGAATCTAGTATTTGGGAGTAAAATAATCTAAATCACGTCCACTCCTCTTTGCTGTCTCTGGTTTCTTTTTCTATACTTCTACGTCTCTCTCTTTATATCTCTCTGTCTCTCTTTCCTCTGCCGTGTCTTTCTAAATTTGCCTTGTGTGGTTGTGGGAGTATAACGTGTGCCCGTCCCCCTCCCTTCAGAAAACCATGAGCAGATACACCTGGGAGTGTAAGACCAAAGAGGAGTCCGACTGCGAGGTAAGGCCCGGCCAAGTGTCCCGCCTCCCCTTACAGTTTGTCCTAGAGTCCTGTGCCCCCCCTTCCCCCTGCCCCTCGCCATTATAACTGTGGCCCTGCCCTGTCAGCCCCCCGGTCCCCCCGTCCCTGCAAAACCAATGGAACAGTCCGCATACCGAACTGTATCGCCAAAAGTCTCGCAATATTATCGGAGGCCATCACAATATATCGAATTACAAGTCTCTTTGCTTAAATTCATAGTTATGGTGATTCTAATGTCTTTCTTTGTGATTTGAATGACTTTCTTCTTTAGTAAAGCACTTTGAATTACTTTGTGCATCAATTACGCTATGTAAATAAACTTACGTTGCCTTGCCATGGTGCAGCAATAGATAAAAATACTACATAGACCATGATCCTTTGGTGTTGACAGTGCAGACTACATGAAGAAATAATGGAATTCTTCATATTATAACAGAACCAAAGGCTTTTAAAACAGAAAAAGTAGCATATTCACAATTTTGTAAGCCTCCACAAAATATCGTGAGATGCATATCGTGAAAATATCGTATCAAGGGATTTTGATATGTCCCGACATTTTACTGTTGCCGCCCTGAGAACCAACCAGACCAAAACGGACCACAAAAAAACATTTCAAACTTCAACAATGGTTTCAGAAGAGAAATTATCGTTCGTTTATCCCTTGGCTCTCAAACTTTTCGCACCAAGGATCACTTTTCTGAGTCTAAACCAGGACTAACCCAAAGAGGACACGAAATATAGATAAAACTGACTCAGCGAACACGAGAACTTAAAGATGCATTGCTCGACTTTTTCAGTGGAGGCTCGGTCAGTTGCTCGTCTCCATGGAGATGTTATTGCTTTGTCTAGAATGTGCCAAAGTAAAGATTAAGCTCATACAGTATATCTGAAGGAAAACAACTATAAACTGGCTTACAAGTCAGCTCTGTGGAGAGGCAGCCCTATTCACAGAGAGATTTGAGTATTTTTGAGCAACAGAAACACCCGTAATGAATAAATTCTTGATGGAAAAGTTTAATGTCATACAGTGGAACATTCCAGTGAAAGCTAACATGTCCACGGAGACAAGTAGGTGACGGTCCACTAGAAAAGTTGCGCAATGCACCTTTAAGAGCAGAGAGACACAAATACACGCTGCTATAGACTTAGAAAAACATGATTTTATATTTTATATACATAGTTATACCACGGTCAGTGAGAATTCTGCCATGCATTATTCTTGAACGACTGCTCAAGTAGTTCTGGCAACAGTTTTTAATCACCAGGTTATATCACCAGGTTATATCACTACGCTGTGAGCATCACTATAGCAACAGGTAAACAAATGAACTACTGTTAGGAGGGACTAGCTTCAACTAAGACAGAAATAACCAAAGCCTTGAACATCCACAGACAGCCAAAAGGTTGTCTTGTTTTTAATGTTTTCTCACAAAAAGAAAATTTGAAAATCAGGGACTAGTTGTTCATATAGACAAACAATGAAATCACCTAAATCAACCTGCATATATGGCAGTTCCACGATGGCAAAAATTACTCCTCGTTGTCAGTCCCATTATGGTGACTGGGCTGCAGAGGTACTGAACCCTATCTTAAATTCCAAAAGCAGGGCCTGTCCCCGTGCCTCCATCTTCACCCTCATCTCCATCAGACCTTGTTTATATCTGTTCCCACTCCCCAAACAACACCTGCTCTACAGTCCTGGTGCTCTGTGCTCCCTGCCCCCTCACCATGCACAATGATACGAGCTGCAAACCAACAAACCAACACACGTTTTCCAGTTTCACGCTGACGGGAAGACAGAGGGGCCCTATCCCGTAACCATGGAAGTGACGTACCCGCACGTCCTGCCTGAAGTTACTATCTAGGCCAGCAGCCAGCGGGTAAATGCTCTCTTTTCAAAGTTCTCTCATCTCCAACACAAAGTCAGGCTAGTGCTGCTGCCCGGCCCCCCATGTGATAGACCACTGGACTGTGCTCTGTGCATGTGCATTTAGACTGGGCTGTCCACACGGATATATGACGGACATGGTTAGATGTTAGCTCCAAAGAATACATGAATAAATGGTAGATGACAAGATATCCACAAAATGCATGAAAGAAGAAGTGTCTTATTTTAGTTTATTTCATTATTTGGGGCTACTGCATAAATCCAGATCTGTTTATTTAAAGGGTCTATATTACTCTGTTTTCTGATCTATGTTAAAATGTTGTTTCTTCATCAACAACACCCAGAGTTGTGTTTTATTTGATTCACACATGTTTAACACACAAACCCTGCAGATTTAGGTTCTTCTCTGAAACAGAAACAGTCTGTTCCACCTTATGATGTCATATGTAATACTGGAAATGCTCCACAGTGTTTTAAAAGTCCATACACCTTCACTAGAATCATTTAAATAATTTCAGCTCTGGAATCTCTACTGAACTAATGCCGAACATACACTGTGTGATATTATCGATCGTTTCAGTCAGCTGCAGCTCAAACTGTACGACCAACTGTACGATTCACCTTCACACTATATGAACTACTTCGACTGGATTTCAAACAGGTTTGATATTCTTGCAACCTACGATTGCCAATCAGGAGCTAGTAGAAAGGTAGTAATCAGTTCTTATTACCCCACATGAAGCACAACATATCATTGTGTAAAACTCAACCTGATCCCAAAAACAGTGGCACAAGTGAAAAATCATCTCAAAAAGGGCCAAAATCACACAGTGTAAGCCCGGCTTAATGGTGCGTTTGATTATCCATCCGTCTCCCACTCTGATCTTAGATATGACATCTTGTCCACACTTGTCGCACAGTCTCGCATAGACTGTCTATATGGATGGACATAGCCAATGCACTAGCCGCCCCGTTATGGTCTTGCATGTCTGACTTGAAGAAAAACAACTGGAAAGCTGTTATTTTTGTTGTTTATCTTCTGTTAGCAACCCTAGGGACATTTAGCAATACCTGTTTAAAACAAGTCTTTGTTCATTATTTGCCTGACCACAACACCGACCACCATACCCTTAGGCAGTGATACGGATGCAGTACGCCACTGCAGTAATACTACCATACCCATAGACAGTGATGCGGACACAGTATTGCAGTAATACGAGCGACTGAAATTGTCATTTAAACCACCAAAGTGTCCAAACACAATGATAACAGTTCATACTTAAAAGTGACACTGGGCGCAGCCACTTTGGATTCTGTCTTGGAATCCTTCCTCGCACTCCTCTGAGTTCTCTGAGTTCCACCGTCCGAGCAAAACGTCCTCGGACCTCTGAGTCGGACAGATAATCGAACACACCATAAAGCTAAGGGGAGCTGTTAACATGAACTACCACTACATGACATCACAATGTGGAACAGAGCATTTTCAGTTTTGGAGATGTAGACAGACTAATAATAATTGATTATTCAAACATATGAATGAAACAAAATACAACTCCATGTCTGTTTTTGAGGAGGTATCAATATTCAAACATGGATTAAAACTCACGAGAGTCAAGTCAGAATAATATAGGACCTTTAAATATGTGATAGTTTAAAGCCTGAAATAGACATATATCCAATCTGCTGAGTGGAACTCTTTGTTACAAGCTGGAATAGTAAAAGCTTGCAGATCAGCGAACCTGGATGTGCCCTTAAACTGTAGCGTCGATCAGTCTCCGTGTTAATGGGGAAAAACAGCTGAAACACACTCAAACGCAATCAATTCTCCCTGACCTTAATGTGCTCCAACTCAAGTCAACCGAAAGCTCTTAAAAAAAAAAAAAAAAAACACAATGTCCCTAAGAGAGTTTGGCTAAGTCTGATGGTGGTACGCACTTCTCACACAGAGGAGCTAAACCCTGGCCAGTAGTAGGGCTGATACCATTGAATTCACCGTGAGCATGAGGAGATGGAGGTGGCCTGTGCGAGCGACGTGCATGGGGTGGATGTGCATGCGCTTCTGTGCTGCTCAGGTGTGGGGCAGGGGCTGGGAGGGGTCGCTACCGGGTCACCTCCAAGTCCCCTCAACAAAGCATGGGGTTCAAAACGATAGCCATCTGCCCAAAATGCGAATGCTACTACGTTTTATAAGCATTGCATTAGCAGCTTTTGTTTAGATGTAGACAGGTTTGGAGACCGGCACTGGGTTACAACAGCAATAATGTAGCGATGTCTGCAAAGAGTCCGCAAAATAGCTGTTATATGGAAAGCTATGGACGCTATCTTCAAAAAAATATATAAAAAATTTGGTGTATTATTGTTGGTGCAACCCAGTTTGTGCATGTGTAAACAAATACATCTAGTAGAGAGATGTATTTAAATATATTTTTAAATTATTTAGTCTTACAGTGTGATTTATTCTTATTCAGAAATAACAGGTGTGGAAGTAAGTAAACTGTTAGCTATTTTTAACCTTTGAGATAAGTCGTAATTTAGTGTAGTAATATCCATATAGTCGCTGGTCTAATTCACAAACAGCAATTATCACAATAAAAAGACAACAGGATTCTTGACCTACTTAAGATCAAGTAGCAAAATTAACTACAGGTTATGGATTGAAGTGTCCTTTTGTAAATTGTTCCTGAAGGATACACAGTCTATTCACGCTTACCGGAAGACGTTTGGAAACATGCGGATGACGACTTCTGGTGTAGTTACCAACACTGGGCATGTGATAAAACCATGAATTCAGCAGCAGCGTCTTCACAACCTGCCAAAGCTTTCCATGAGGGACGGGACTCTAATCGCGTCTTCATGTCATTTACATACGGCTGGTTTTAACTTGATCTGCTGAACATAACGGAACACTACAATCACATTTTTAAAAATTAAGTTAGACACATTATAATACACAAATTCAAATTATAAAAAGAAAAAACAACCACATCTAGATGAAGAAAACCGGGCCGAGTTACTATCACTAACAGAGTCCAAAGAAAGTCGTCCGCCACGTGTTTCCAAAGTCTTCCGGTTTTGTGACGTAAGCGTGAAGAGTGCCCATTGAAATTTAGAAAATGTATCACAGATATTTTTATTTATTTTTGAATGTACTTTTAATTTATTGTTTTAATGAAGTATTTATTTATTTTTACAAAACTTCACTGTAACAGATATATTGGATATCCATAACGATACGGCTCACAAAATCAAACCATTTCTAAAATGAAGAGCCGAAATGCCAATCAAATATGCAGCGTGAACTTATTTTCATCCAGTTTTTGATCTCATTCCTGTTGCCCAAGATTATATAGTTTAACCAAAATCTGAGAATAAGAATTTTAAAATCATTACACCAATATTTAATTAATTATCATCATGACAGGAAGACATTGGACCACTGACTATATAGTACTGTAAAAGACGATACTTTCTAAATGTAGATTGTGTCAACATTAAAGGTGCATTGTGTAACTTTTCTGGTAAAGCGCCCGTCAAATGCTTTTCTCCAGGGAGATGTTATTGCTTCGTTTGGAATGTTTCACAGTATGGTATTAAACCTTTCTATCTTCATGGAGACCAAACCAGACTATGTTGCAGGTCAGATCTGTGGAGAGACGACCCCGCTCACAGCCTGTTTTTCCTGCTATAAAACCACCTGTAACTGAATACATGTAAGATAGAGCGGTTTAATGTCATATTGTGGAATATTTGAAGTAGAGCAATGACATATCCATGAAAACATGAAGGTGACGGACCCCAAACAGAAAAGTTACACAGTGCACCTTTAAGAGCTCAGACTAAAACATGAGGTATACTTACATAGACTGACATAGTAGTAGTAGAAGTTGTGTTGATTGTGTTCTAACTGTCGTCTCTGCCCTGGCCGTCCTCTCTGGGCAGGATGATCCTCACTCCCAGAACAAGCTGGAGGACCCGGTGAAGGCCCCGCCCAAAGAGGACGAATCCCTGAACATCCACAACTCCCTGACCCCCAAACCCGACCACCACAAAGTCCTGGGCGAGGAGAACTCCGAGGTAAACTCAATGCAGAACAACATGATGTGAACACAGACACACTGACAACAGCAGGGGGCGCCCTCCCAGCTCTGTCTGACCTCTGCGCGCCTGACCGGTCAACCAACCAACCAGCCTGCCAACTACCAGCCCGACAACCCAGTCTGCTACCGTCTATACGGCTACACTGCCACCAAGCAGTCCCAGCTGCTGCAAAAAAGTCACCCCACCTCCGCTGCCACCATGGATGTATTATGAGAACTGAAAACGGAACTGAAATTTGATTGATTTGGTATTGCAATAGTTGAAGTTTTAACATTAGAAAGAAGTCATTTTTAAGGGACATCTTCTGAAGCATTCTTAATCCTTGTTTCTACAAAAAAAAAAAAAAAAAACTTTTATCGATTTTAAAATCTTTGTACTTTTGACCAAATTGGTTTACATGAGTGGTGAGGTGGGTTGATTATCTAGTTTTTATCTTCACAGTTCACCCACGACTCCCATGGACAATTACAGAATAAATTGTGATTTCTTTACGAATTTAGGAAACCTGCAATTTGTATTCTTGTCAAATATCTTAAGGCCTCTGTAAGTCTTAATGATGTGGGGGAACATGTAATTAGAACTGTTTGGTTTGCTGTTCTATTGTGCCAATACAGTCCGCGTACTCATTCAGGGGATCTGTCAGGAATACTTGTTTTATTTCCTTACTTCCAAAATGACTTTAACTTTTGCTTCTATGGCTCCTGTCTGCTTCTCCAAACTGGGTAAAGCTGAAGAATACACAGCTTCACAAATGTGTCATCTCTATAATAACTTTGAGGAATAGAGCGTTCCTTCTAGGCCTGTCACGAACACATTTTGAAGTGAATAGAAATAGAAATAAAAGAATTACAGACGATAAATGATGACAATGAAATTAATTTATCCCGCACAATAACCATAAAGCAGCATTATTTCCAAACACTAATCTGAATGTACAGTATTGTTAAAAATGTTCGCCACAGTAAATGAAACTCTTCCAGATTGAGTCATAAAATAGTCACTGTTCAGCTTAAATGTAAAATTCTGAAAAATATCAAAGTTCCCCAATAGTACCCTCCATAAATAATGACCCCAAAAAAGTTCTATCATTTATCAAACACCAGTAATCAGTGTCGTAATTATCGTGACAGGTCTAATCCCTTCATTGGGTAGACTGGAGTTTTTTGGAGCAGGGAACAGAGACTTCCACGGCTACTATGGTTCTCAAATACATCCAAGGCTGCCACTGCCCCAGCTGAGAGTAACCCCCCCTTTCTTCTTCTCCTGCTGCCCCGCTCTTTCCCTTATTCATTGTTTACTGTCACTCTACTGCCCCCTACCCCCTGACCCGCACACATGCACATATAGACAAACAGTGGAAAAAAAAGTGAAAAACATAAGCCACGCTTTTAATGTGTACACTCAGCACTCAATCCCTGCCTGCATCAGTGTATTTTGTAATAAAAAAGAAATCAATACAGTTTAAAGGTGTCATTGTACAAAAAAAAAAAAAAAAAAAAAAAAAAAAAAAAGATGAAACTACTGAGAGTTTTTGATGTTGATGTATGACTAATCCAGTGCGTGTGTATAAATATTGGAAACATTGCTTGGGTTGATTTTAAATGGAACACAGTGTCTTGGTTTTTTGTGATTTCTAATCCTTTGATGTATTTTGATTTTATTTTGTACTTTTTTGAACTTCAAACAGAGAATAATCAAAAAGAGATTGAGACCGTTGTTGAAATAAAACCTTTTTAACATGATCAAAATGGCGCCTGTGTGTTCCTCTGCTTGAACTTTGACCCCGGCTGCATGGCTTTGGTGAATGTGAAATGCTGCTTCAAATATGTCTGCTGAAAGTGGGCACCCCTGTCTCACATGTAACGAATGAATTCATCATTCCATTTGTATAGTACCTTCCAAGACACTCAAAGACACTTTACAGTTCATTGTTCTTTCTCTCCACATTCAGTGGTGGCAAGCTACTAGTGTAATCCACAGCTGCCCTGGGGCAGACTGACAGAGGCGAGGCTGCCAATCTGCGCCATCGGCCCCTCCAACCACCACCGACACTCAGGCACTCACCACTTTCTTACTAGGCAATGTGGGTGAAGTGTCTTGCCTAAGGAAACAATGACAGTTTTTGCCCCTGGTGCTCCTCTGTGGCACCTGGAATTCCCAGTGGTATCTCATTCAAATATTAACCAGACTCGGCCTTACTTAGCTTTTAAGACCTGACGAGATCAGGCTTTTATATTTAAATAAATGTATTATTATATTTTAATAAGTAAATAAATAATATAATATAATAATAAATGTATTATTATATTTTAATAATACATTTAAAGTAAGGATTAAAAAAAAAAAAAAAAGTTTATATTTAGGCTAATGATAAATATCTCATGGGTGGAGCCAGTGTGTGGGAGAGTGGGCCACTCATGTCATTGCTACTTTGAGGTCTGTAGCTTACATCAAAAGTGGATACCTTAGAACTTTGCTAAATTAACATATTATAGTAATTTCTTTTTTCTTTTTTTTATGTGTTTATTTCTGTTGCATAATTCATTTATGTATTTATGAAAGAAAGCAGACCTTCACATGGGTCTCATGTGAGTTGCTAGGTTCAATGCTGAAATCCAGCTGGTTAAAAACTCTGATCTGAATGGTCACTACCTAACCCCCAGCACCTCCAGCCAATCATGAATCAGTGCTAGTGCAGCCTCTGCACCTCAGGGAGTGAATTCTGGAGGTTCTGAGCTTTCACATGAGGCCTGTCCATATACTGAGAATGAAAAAAATATATATGTGTCTTCTATCTGCAGGTTAAAGGTGCATTGTGTAACTTTTCTGGGTGTAGGGTCCATCAATTGCTTTTTTTGTTGATGTTTTGAGATGTTAATGCTTTGTCTGGAATGTTTCATAATCTTTCTGTCATCAAGCAGACCGACTGAACCAGACCAAGTTCCATGTCAGATCTGTGGAGTGGCAACCTTGCTCAAAGTCAGAATGTCTGTTCTTCTATGTATTTTTGAGCAATAAACTATTTGTAATTGAATAAACATAAAGTAAATGTGTTTAATGTCATACCGTGGAACATTCCAAGCAGAGCAATGACATTTCTATAGAGTTACACAGTGCACCTTTAAGACACTGGCAACTGACAGAATGCAGGCTACATATAGTAGTAAATTTAATAAAGTATTAGCTCATTATAAACTACATATATTTTTCATGCATACTGCTATTAAGTATTTTTAAGTAAAACCTACAATTTAGTTTCATATCTTCACTCGCCGACACAAAGTGAGCTTCAAATGGGAGTGGCTGGAAGCGAAATTCCATTAAATGTATATATATTTGGTTGCATAAGGCAGGGTTTACATAATGGTGGTTTCTCATAGGGCATACATGGGTCAGTCAGTCCTGCTTTCATTTCTCTGGCCCACTCTCCCACACACTGGCTCCACCCATGAGACTGTTTGAATAGACCACACAGCCTTGTATACATTTATATTCACATTCAATGACAAAGCGTCTGTCATCTGCACATGCCTGCTCCCAACATGGCCAAACAAAAGCTCCGACACGCTAGCAAACTGAAAAACTGTATGGAACGATATGGAAAAAACACAACTGTAGCCAGCAAGGTTTCCGAGAGCTCCACCTGCTGACGCACCGAGGAGTGAAGCAGTTTAAATGAGATTGAAAACAAGACCTGCACATATGAAGCTTTCTTGTGGCTTTCTAAAGGTAAAGTAATGTCTACATTTTGGAAACTATACTAACTATACTCGAATGTTGAAACAATGTCACCACAGAACAAGTCCAGTGATGGTTTAAGGCAGGGGTGTCCAAACTTTTTTCATCAAGAGCCACATATCTAAACACAGATGAAGCAGAGGGCTGATCGAGGGCTGTAGACTGATGCTCAATACAGTGAATAATTGAAATATGTGCATGTTTAACACGTTAGAATGGGCCATCAGTCCTTTATTCATGCTAAGATCCTTAAAACCACACACTAAATATTAAATATCAGCTTTATCAAGGTAGATTTTCCAAAAACGTGCAGTAAAAGTTCATTTTTAATTGATGCAAGGTCATTTGGGCCAATTCACCTGGAAGCCTGAGGGCCAAGAAAAAATTGTCTGAGGGCCACATTTGGCCCACGGGCCATAGATTGGACATGTCTGGTTAAATTATGTATGACAAGTCTGTATTTTTACTTGTGGCGCAACAATCTAGGCAAAATATGAACACACCATTTCTGAGTGCTCAGAGAAGATAAGTTCATGCCAAAAATTCATTTCAGTTATATTAAGTGCTTCAACGTCTCTCCACCCGAGTGTCAGACTTTACTTTGCTGTTAAATTACAACCAAAATGAAAACAATAGATTTGTATCTGTATTTATTCATTTCATTCATATAGTACAAAAAGACATCAACAATGTCACAACATCAAACATACAAGAAATGAAAGAAAAGGAGCAGAAAGAAGAGTCATCTTATGTTATCTGCTCCCTTTTCCAGACAATACATCTACATCGATGGTTACTAAACTTACATTACTACAGACGGTAAGGCAAGGTTGGTGTAAATTCTTTTTTAGAGTGATTTTGCCCTTTCCTCAATGTCACTGGGGCTGTCAGGAGCACCCTGCAGCCACAGTGCAGCACCCAGAGACCTATCTCCAGATCTTGAGCTATACTTGTTCAGGACTATATCTTAGATGGAAGATTTTTCCCAATGTGTCTGTTTTAGGTTGATGGAGAGAATTGGAAAACCTTAAGGAAACCAACCCCGACCTAGATTCCATTTCTATTCCATTTCCATTTCCGATCCCATACTTCACAGAACAACACTTCAGCTATTCAATATACTAACTCATGTTATACATGACAAGACAAGACAAACAAAACACTCACTCACTCATCACACACTCATCCAGACACCACACTGGCTCAACACTCTCTGACCCTACACCTCCCTCCCCCTGACCTCACACTCTCTGCTGAGGGCATCACTGTCTCTCGTCCAGGTATTTTTTTATTGTTTCTCTTTTAAATAGTTTTTTTTTTTTAAACTGTACCAGGCTCCTACACACTTTTAGTTCTTCTGATAATCCATTCCACAGATTAAAGGGCAGTTCGGAATTTCGGACACTGGATTTCATTTTCTAGTGAGCTAGAGTGTTGGATACGTGTGGAGACGGAAAAAAATCCATCCAGTCCTTGTATTTACAGAGGTCGCTGGTGCAAGGCTAGTGCATGTCAATGG